AGGCCACTTGAGGAGTCCCACAAACCAAGCAACTTTTGAGAGCAACAAGAAGCAGATAAATCATTCGTAGCAGCTATATTGGTCGATTCACTGGTTTTATCTGTGTGGACTCCAATGGTATTACAAGCTGATGAGTAAATCATTTAACAAAAGCAGAGAGATTATAGTCAGAAAGTAGGGAATAAATAAGAAGGTGATAACACTTATTTATGAACTAGTTTGCGAGTGGATATAAAAGTCCCAGAGCCACTCGGCTTATTCAATAAATTTGCATTCTGACGTTCTCGAGATATCCCAGGATCAGCCGGAATACTAATAATGTGATCCCTATCACCATAATAATGTCATTTGTAAATTATACAATAAAGGCAACATATTTAATGTTCAACAAACATGAAAAATAATATCAAAGAAAGAGTCAATCTTGACTACTCTTTGTGTGGAGCTGCCCTACTGCCTGTAAGGGACATCCTTGACGATCACTCAACATTTACCAATCCTTTATGAAATTCGTCGCTCTATGCTTTGGTGCTGGAATCTAGTTTCATAGAAGTCAAATTGGTGTTGGAACTTTGTGAGTGGACGCGAAGGTAATTTCCATAGTATGTGTGACACAAAATTAGTTTCTCGATGGAACTGCTTTACTAAAAGAAAGTGAAGTATGAGTCTAACAGGCCGGTAGAACACAGAGGTAGCATGATGATAACAGAGTCTTGGCTGGATTAGGCTGGCCACTGGTTGTATGTCCTAAAGGTGAGTTAATCGCATTTCGTTTGTCTGACTAAATCAAGCTATATATTCTATTGTTTTACTTAATATCATCTCAATCTTTAGGTGAGAAAGAACGTCAAAAGCAGGATATTCCTATTTCTGGATTCTTAATAATTGAGTGGCGTTCATCATCCTATGCCAAAATAAATTGAAATTTTGCCCTTGGTACTTCAACGGTTTCTCATTTCATCATTGGGCTGAAGATCTTTTCCCAAAAGGGAAAATAGCTTTAACATCATGTAAACCAAAGATGTGGTTTCATAATGGCTTACAGTATCTAACATGGTTCCTAGAAAATTAGGATATTTTGAATTAAATAAGAGAATCAAACACATGGAAACAGCAATCAGAAGCATCTTTTGCAGCCTTTGGCCTTTTTCCATGCTCTAAATCTGGATATTTTAAGGGCAGGACATGAAAAGGCTATATACTTGAAATATAAGCTATTGATATAAACAAAATGAGATTGCAATTCCACATTATTTGCTTGATGAAACTCAGAGGCTTGGACATTTAAGTTTCAGCTGCTCCTCTTTTTTGTATCTTTCCTATCTAACCTCTGAGCATTCTTTCTCCTGCAGCCAATTAACAAAAAATTAAACGGCCCAAACCACTACCCAGCCCAATCCAAAAAATTAAAAACATCCAGTCTCCAGAACCATCTCAATTCATTTTCCTCCATTTCCTCCAGGCTCGACCTCCGCCTCTGCGTGCGTCTCCTCCAGCCAGAGCGAGCCTCCATTTCAATTCAAAACATTAGGGTCTCAGCTCGGCAGCTCCATCCTCCATTAACTCCGCAGCTGTTCCTGTTCGAGTTCGAGCCCTAGACCAGTTGACCAGCTGCTTCGCTTCCGTGCCAGCGATTCTTCTTCTTCTTCATCCTTGATTCTTCGACAATCGGCAGCAGTAGTAACCTACTGTAAGTCTGTAACTAGCTTGGGTCTTTTCGAATTTCGATTATTACTATATTTTGCGTATACGTTGTCGGTATGCATAAACCGTTTGTTATCGTTGAAGCTCAGCCTCAACCAAAACTACAGAACTCAATCAAATTAACACCAACAATTGAAGAAAATCAGCTGGGAATCAATAACCCAACCTGTAATTCTATTAATTGTAACGAAATCACAGCTCAACAGTGAATTACAAAGAGAAAATAAGAAGAGGAATAAGAAAAGTGGAGAGAGAGAAAAGACAGAGAGAAATTTGAGAGGGAAATTCACACTGAAACAACTCACGCCATTCCTCTCTTTCCCATATCGTTGTAATGAAAGAAATCGCATTATTCATTCTTGCAAAGTAAAAAACATGTTCCAATTATTACAATTGAAATTCTTGGCTCAAAATGACACCGTTCCCTTTTGATCCAAAACGGCGTTGTCTTGGTTTTGATTTGAATTTGGCAGCAGTAGTTCTTCTTCCTGCAGCAGCTTGGTTCCTTCTTCCTGGTATTTCTCTTGCCTCTGGTTCCACACTTCAGCTGGTTAGCTCCTCCACCATAACACCGTTTGGGGTTTGATTCCTTCATCGGCGTTTTATATGACTGGTGTTTTGAATGCATATTTGTGATTTGATTGTTATAAGTTGCACATATTCAGGTTCAGTTGTGTAGAAGAGTAGATTGAATTTTGCAGTCTGTGTTTTTGAGATTATTGCTTAACTGGTTAATCCAGATTCCAGTGCTCTGCTTTGTTCAATCACTTTTTAATCATAAAATTATTGGATACATTTGTGGGAAAAATTTTGTTCTCTAGTCATATGTGACCTTATTTACGGATAGATGCACTCGAATGACATAGCTTATCCTCTACTGAATAACATTATGGTTAATTTGATCTCTTAGAAGAATTTCTCCTCATTTTTAGTATTGTCGTAATATTGTTTTATATTTTTATCATCATTAAATTCATAACCAAAAACTCGACGTTCAACGTTGATAAATTGTGCTCAAGCCGAGTTACTTTCCTAGCCCTAGCCCTTCCCCTGCCCATAAAATATCATCAATATAAACAAAATTTGTTACATCTATAACTAAGTATACAATCCAGGACACTTATAACATACGGAGACAGACGCTGTCTGTTAACCTAACCTTAAGCGTATCAATTTCTTGCTCTTTGGGATTGTGGGTCACACGGGAAATATGTGGGGCAGCGATAAAGGAGTCAAAATTATCGCTTTTGGGGGTGATGTCGTGAACGTTCTGGGACAACTCTCGAGGAGAAGGATAGCTTATTTCATACTGCGCCACCGTCTGCGGCGGTGGAGGCAGCGGAGGAGGAAGTGGAGCTTGGGTGGCCCTCGTGGATAGGGCTATTTCTTCAGCTTGAACTAGCTGGTTGTCACAAGCTGAACTTCACCTCGTAACCTCAAGCTTTCAACAGATCAAATATGGAGTTCCTTCATCTGAATGAGCTGAAATTATAACCAAATAAAATGGAAAAATAGAATTGGGATGGTAAAATGATAAAAATAAGAAGAATTAGAGAGAGAACACTATTAACTGAATTTCACAGGAATCAACGACCCACAGATCTTCGCACATGGATGTATATATACTCCTGGTGGAAATCGTGTTTCACAAAAAAGAAAGCACCAAAAATGTTTTCTAACTAATACATTTATTTGGAGTACCGTTTGAATTAAACACATATGACGCCTTTTTGCATTTTTAATAGTTAACTCTGCTGGTCCTTTTTCCTCGGATCTGGTTTTCTTCTTCTCTTTTGCAGCTCTGTTCCTTCTCTTTCCCCAGTCGTTTCCCCACGTAACAACTAGGAAGTCGGCGTCCCATTCTTCCACTTCAAAATCCTCACTCGCCATTTTCTTGTGCTCAAAACTGCCGTGCACTATGCACCACCATTCAGCATTTTTTAACACGCCGTAAGGCACGGCCTTGGTGCAAGGCAAACAAGGCCACTGCCTTGTGCCTCAAATTTCAAGGAGCCTCATAGAAAAAAGAGGTTCAAAAACTGCCCTAGTTCAAAACCCTTCAAACCCTTTAAAAAAATTAATGTGCGCTTATAAGAGAGGAAAGGAAGAGACTCTGAAAATTGAAATCTATTTCTCTCATCATCTTCACCAAAAAATCCATTAATTCCAAATTTTCCACACATAATTGTTGCATCTTTATTCCGTCGAAGGTTTTCAAAAATCTCAAAAAACTCAAAGGTAAGATTGATATTATTATTCTGTCTTTGTTTTAAAAATATTTATTTATGACATGACAATATTTTGTTCTTGAATCTTAGATATTTGATTTCTGGTTGAAAGAGTTTATGTGAAAAAAAGTTGAAAATATTATCATTGGCTTTGAATCAATTAAAACTTTTGAAAATAATGGAGTTTTGGTTTAATAGACTAGGTTTGATTTTCGAATTTCCATTTTTTTAAAATTTTTATAACACATAAGAGAGCTTAGAGATGAATTATAATTTCTTTGTTAATAATTTGGCTTCGAATTTGCGTTAAATTCGTGAATATTTTGTTTTTCAGCACTCATTTTTTTTAATTAATCCAAGTTTAACTCATTTTTTCTTAGTTCTTACCTCTGTTTAGCATTTTCAAGTGTTTTAAAATGTTAAAATATTTGTCGTTTTCGCTTCTTTAGTGTGGGTGAAGCTGTAAAGGTGCTATAATGAAACATAATTTTAATACATGTCAATTACATGCAACAGAAATTTGCATATGTTAAGTTGTCCACTTAGGTGATGATTGGCTTTGCTTTGACCTCTTTTTCTCTGTATTTAGAGAATATTCATCCATTTGCTTGGTGTTATACTTGATTTTATTTGTTTACTGTTTTTTCAAGAACTATGATCTATTTTTCAGTCTTTATCAAAACGACATTATATTATCTTGAAGCGGCCAAAACCTATTAAAACGACAGAAAATACATAATTCTTCCAACTTTGGATTGACTGGTCTTCTGATAAACTATACTAAAGACATACCTTAAATATAGATGTAAAAGGACTTCTTGTTTGGGATTTTGATCCAGTAAGTAGCCGAGCCAAGGACAAAAAGTATAGAAATCAATATCATTGCAGTAGAAATCAATATATAAGTATTGTTATTCTTGTAAAAAGATTAAGTTTAATGTCTCTTAATAATTAGTCGCCCGCCTGGGGCTCAAAGTTCTCGTGGCCAGCATTGCACCCACCCACGCACGCTACACAAACAAACAACAAAAGCAAAACTGTCATCTGTTTATCCCTCAGGCTACATAAATGGAGATTGAAGAAGCTTCCACTTCGTCAAGACCCTCTTCCTCTTTGCCGTCGCTTGAAGATTGCATGAAGCTACTGAGAGGAGAAAACGATTCTCAAAGGCTCGCTGGCCTACTCTTGGTCACCAAATTCTGTGACAAGGACAATCAACAAACCGTTCACAAGGTCTACGATGCTGTCGGCCCCAGCTTCCTCCACCGCCTCTTGCTCACCGGTACTCACCGATGAATTCTAGTAATTAATTTTTTTTAAAAAAACCTAATTTTTCAATATTTATTTATTTATTTATTTATTGTGGCAGGGATGGGGAAGGGGGATGGTGGAGGAGATAATGCTAATAGGGAGGCTTACTTGCAGTTAGCCGTGACGATGCTGGCAGCCTTCGCTAGGATTCCTGAGATTGCTGCGAGTGAAGAGATGGTTTCAAAAGTTCCTTTGTTTTTGGAGGTTATGTCAAACATGTATGTAAAATGTTATTCATTTGAAGTTTGGACTTTATTCTATTTGCTCAATGCTCATCATGTATTAGTTTCCTTCTGGATAATCTTTTAGCCCCAAACAAGTTTAAATAGTGCTTCTTGTAGTTGATTATTGTGGTTAAAGTCTTACTATGGAGGTCATCGCAGAACAGGATCTTTTAATGCTTCAATCTCAGTTTTCCGGGACAGGGTATTAGCAAAGAAATACTATGCCATAGATGCAGTCACATAATTACAAAAATATAGAAATACCGAGTATGCATGGAATTAGGGGATAGCTGGTTTGAGCTTGTATGATCCATGACTGTGCTTTTGGGATGAGATGAAGAGGAGTAATCTCTTGACGAAGCAATTTGTCTCTAATTTTGCATTGTTAGACATACCATATGTTCCCAACTAATATTTTGTCCACTTTATTCTTGAGGTTGTATCTGACGCTCAGCATGTTGTAACTGAATATTGGTAAAATGTCTAGGAGATCTTGTTTATTCATAATTTTTTTCTTTATTTACTTCTCTTAATCCATGAGCTATTGTATGCATCGAGGAAGCCAAGTATACTTACTGTAAGGAGGAAGCATATCTTGTATGATATAGATCTGTATTAATTTGATTTTTGGACTGGACTTGCAGCTTCATGTGATTCATCTTCTTGCTTCCTTTTAGATTTGATGAAAACGTAGACGACTGTACACTTGCAGCTTCATTTGATTCATCTATGGTCTTTTACGATATAGATGATGTTTCGACTTGCAGGTCTAGTTCAGCTTTCATTGAAGAGTGCTATGAATTTCTATTTTTGGTGTCATCTGCTCATGAGGAAGGAGTTGTAGCATTATATGAATCAGGAGGCATGAACACACTGGCATCTCAAATGCCCACTTTGCCAGAGGGTATCTAGCATTAATCCTTTCTGAAAATTATTGACTAGATGAACCATTAATAAATAAAAATAAAACTTCTCCCTATCAGGCTGATGGATATTGTGATGCAGATTGTACTGAAGAGTAAAAAGAAAAATGCTCTTATTTTAGTTTTGAAAATAAGTAATACATTTTGGTTTATTTTCTTACCACGTTTATCAGTTTGAAGAAATTTTCAATGTTAATTTGTTCCGAAACTCTTCCAAAAATTCTTCTCTTCCTCTCTCTTCTTTCTTGTCTTGTTTCTCTTTCCCGTTCTTCATTATATTTTGTATCTTATTATATTCATATGTTGTCTCAATTTTATTATACGGGAAATAGTAAATTGATACAGTACCCTGATGGAGCTATACAATTTTGGCCATATAGTTTTTCAAATAGTTTTATTGGAGGATGATGACAGATGAGAAACTTATGAAAGTAGTAGTTTCTGATTTTTGTGCAAGTAGTTTTGCTTTGATAAGATTTGAGTTACTAAATTTCTTAGGTTCTCATACAATGGAGCTTGCCGTGACACTTGTTCAATTGATGTTAAGCAAGCTACCGGCAGAAAAATTCTATGTTGAACGTCCATCTGAGCTGTCAAAGATGGTGAGCTTCCATGTGCATAAATTCTTTTTCTTTTTGTGTAACTCTGATACAATTTGATTGTTATATTTATATTTTAAGTCAAGTGGGGAACTTCTATCTTCCCTGTTTCAGGTTGCTGCTATAGCGAAACAATTTGCTGTGCTGCACAACGCTTTGAAGTTTGAAGCGCTTCACCTCCTCTCTGCTATTCTGTCCTCAAATTATTCTGTATGAAAGTTTCTGTTGATACACTTTCTGTGAAAGAAATATCTTCAAGATTTTTGTAACATGCACTTGTAATTTTATCAGTAAAAGTCTTTCCTAAATTGCTCTTGCTCCCTGATTTCTGGATTAAAAATGGTAGTTTGCTTCTTGCCATCTATTTAATCTTTGGCCCTTTGACCATCTAAATAGACATCTTTTCTTCGCTATTGCAACCCCAACCTTGGTCGGTAATTTTTAGTTCAGTCTCTCACTTTCTTAAATTAAGAACATATAACAATTTTGTCAACAGAAAAATAAAAAAATAAATTAACCGTTGCCTTCATATTTGTACCTCACGTGTGAAACTACACCAAAGCTAATAGCTCTATTTTTTTTTCAATTAAAGCCATTCAGAGGTAGGAAAGAGACTTGAATTGGGGGTGGGGTGGGGTTTGACACTGCCTCCTACTATAGCATATTGATATGAGAGTTATTTCGGCGGGGGGGGGAGGAATAGCTTGTGTTATATGTTGTTTCGATGGTGCTACGGGTGAGATCAGGACGAACTCATTGGATAATTGTCATTGTGCCATTGATTTGACAGTCGAAGAATCTCGTGTTATAGTATCAACTTACATTTATATTAGATTTTTTAAATTATTAATCTCCCTACTATTTAAAATCGCTTTCAAGTTCTAACTTGGTGGTGGTTCTATGCCTAGCGGTTGACTGATATTTTACTTGCCTGAGTAACTGCATTCATCTTACAATTTATAATAAAGAATCTCATTTTGGCTTCTTTTGATATGTAGGGATTTCTAAATGTTGCGCTTCAGTCAATGGCGGGTGATGATTGGTCAACTAACATACGCATTGGTATTGTTGCTGTTTTGCAAAATCGAGTTGGTATGTTTTACTTATATGAATGAGTAAGCTTTTTGTTGTGAAGGCTGATACAGGATTATACTTTTTACATGAGGTTGATGATTTATGAAAGGCTACTGCTTTATGTAAGGCTATAGTTTTCTTTTTTCTTTGCTTCAAAATTAAATTTGCCTGTTTGATGAGGGCCATCTTAGTCAATCAGAAGCCGAGTAGCTTCACTGCGAGTAGTTTTTTGCAGTTGTTGTTTGGCTATCTTTTGCAAATTTTATGGTATTTTTTCACCAAGTGAGACATTTTTAGCAAAATGCAATTAATGCTCTGTGTTGCTTAACAACTATAGCATCCTCGATGAAGCTTATTTGCCACTTATGCTCAGGACCTGCTGAAAAGCTTCAAGCTCTTGTTCTTGCTGAGCATGTCATATCCATTGTTGGTGAGGAATGGCTTATCGGCCCATTGAATTTGCCCAATGTGCAAGGTTCTTTTCCTGCTGATCGGTGAGTAGTTAAAGTGACCTTTGATGGGTTCCTTTTTTATTTCTCCTCTAAACATCCTCGCAGGGTAACCTAGAAAATTCTGCTCTACTTTCTTATTACAGGTGTATACTGCTTGTTTTGGAGTCATCTAGAGTAGAAATTGCTGTTCTCCTTAATGAGCTTGCATATCTGAAATATGAAGCCTCAGAGACGTCTGATGCTGAAACTTTTGTGGTAAAGCAAAGGAATCTTGGTGTTGCCTTTTCTTTGGTGGAAAAGATTATTAAACTGATCTCAAAATTAGGGGAAAGTGAAGGTACTTGATCTTCACTTTTCTAAGCTGTGTTTGTCAATGTTTGTGTGTTAGCACATATAGACTTTGCAATGGTAAATGCCTCCTGCTTTTTTAGATACATATAGGTCTTGTGCTCTGACTCTAGCTTCATTAAACAATTGTGATTAGTTTGCCAACTCTTTGTTACATCCTATAGTATCATGTTTATGGGGACTTATCAAGAACTGAAACACTCTTCACGTTACAGTTCATGGGTGACCCCACAACTTTCAATTCCCAATGGTCATAATTTTTACAGCAATGTTTTTTTCTCAGTATATCATGAGACTTAGTATTGTTTGGCTGATGATAAGTATGAACTAATGTGGATCCTTCTTCTACTGCAACATGCAATGCAATGGTTTCAATTTTATATAGGCGAGCTCTTAGATGGGCTTTTGAAATTTATTTGTGGATGAAGTATTCTATCGCTGTACTTGTAACTTGTACCTAGAGTAGTTCAGGATTCGTGTCTACTTCAATTTTCTACATCAGAAAAGTTCTTATCAAGAGATATGCTCTCTTATGCTGCATCTGATTTGTTGGAAATTATTTTTGCAGAGTTAAATTCAAATTCCATTATTAGTGAAAGCACCTTCATGAAGATCATCTCTGGTCTCAATGAGACTGTTGGTGTAGTTCTTGATTATTTGCAAGACGCCAAGGTATAAGTCTATTTGAACGGTAACTTATATTTGGACTTCTGCATTTACAACCATGTTTTTGCCAGGAACACAGGCAGAAGAAAGGAGATGACCTTCTAGCTTCAGTGAGGATAGTTGGGAGGTATGTTAACTTACACATATTGTCGTTCTTACTTTGTTGTCCTCTCCTAGTTTTTGTTTCACTTTTTTAGAACTGATTATCTAAGAACAGTTTCTGATATGCTCATACCTATTATTATTTCAGTTATCTTGCAGAAGCACCTAATGCATGCAACGAGAAGGTCAAGGAGCTTCTCAGCTATATGCTTTCAGTTGAAGGGGAAGACGAGCATAGGTTTGATAGATTTCATAATGTTATAAGTTATAGTTTAGGTGTTTTTTACTTCTGTATATTTATTAATTGAAACTATTTGAACATGCTTTAAAATGGCAGTCCTTTTCACTCCATCTGCTTTTTGCTCCCCATGCTGTGTCAAATGACAATGAGGACTGAAGAATGTAAAGATATTGCTTCATCTGGAGCCCTGAGAGCTGTGAGTCAATGATTTGAAATGACTTGATGTACTCAATACATGTCCAATACAGTTGTCCATTTTGATTAAACCAACACATATATAAAATATACCTTGTCGCAATAAACATTCATATAATTGTTCAAAAATTTTAGTTCTTCTTGTTCTCTTAAGAATATGAACACCGACTTCTTTTGCAGGTTGCTGGGTGCCTTATTTGTTTGATTGAATCAAACAGTAATGGTGATGAGGATGGTGGTACAATTTTCTTGGCTTGTGATACGATTTTGAATTTCTTATTGAAGGTATTGTCATTGTGCTTCATACTGGACATAACAAGATATATATAATGCCTGTGGCATTTTCATTTTCTTTCTTACATTAAATAATGCCTGCAACTTTTTTCATTTCTTCTTCCTGAATAGAGGGAGCAAATTCCTTTTTCCTTGGATGATCCTAGTTTTGTCAAACTTTTGCAAGCTTTGTCACATTTGACAGGTATGCTCACGTGCGTTAATGCTCAGAAGAATGTTTGTTTTGACATTACATTTTCTATTAAAGAATAACTTTTATCTGAACGTTATAACTCGTTATGTTATATTTCCTTTGACCTGTCTTTAGTATTATGGAAAAGGAAAGCTGATGAAGCTGTGTTGATCGAGCACTTGATTAATAAATATCCGAATGTGAATAAGCAGATAAAATGAAACAAGAAAGTAAACAAGAGAAGAATGTGTATAGGAAAAGCAGAGCAATAAATAAAGGCTGTGGAGCGAGTGAACTAGATAGTTAATGACACGTAAAGAGAAAAGGCAGTGACTTGAATCTTGTTAGTGGTATACATTAGTACACCATCAGGAACAAATTATGGATCTTTAGCATTCATAATGGGATGAATTTAGTTTTGGATATATTTAGATGGTTGTATCATTCAATGTCATCTTATTCCTCTTGAACCTTTAACAACTCTCTGAAATATTTTTTTACTTTACAATCAATGAATAAATTAATTGACCCTTTACTGGTTTAAATTCATCCTAAACGAATGAAGTAATATTTGAGACATATATATTAATTATCAAAGTGCAAACAATCAATGAAAAAATTAATTGACCCTTTACTGGTTTAAATTCATCCTAAAGGAATGAAGAAATATTTGAGACATTATATATTAATTATCAAAGTGCGAGGGAACTCGTATACTAACAGTGAGGCTTAAGCTTCCCTAGAGAGACTAATTTGGGGTTTTCACAGTTTTTGAGTACTATGAGTTTCTAGTTTTACACAAATGTCCTCTTTGCGCAAGGACTGCTAGGTCTCGTTACCTATCTAGAAAGAATTTTTTTAGTAGCATCACCATCCTTGCACATAAAAAAAGAAAGGAGCCTCATTAACTCAAAAGCGTTGATGTGACATTGCAGGACATTAATGTTTTTTATCTGCTTTTGCTTTGACAAACTACCTGCTGATGTTTCTTACTGTATGTCGTGTAGTCCCTTTGCATTTTGTTTCCTTGTGGAAACAGTTGAAATATATAAATGTGCTATGCAGAGAAGAAGAACGATCCATCTTCTATTATGATGGCATCAAGCATCTGTGCGCTAATACTTGGTTTGACATCAGAGGAAGCTCTTCTACATCATCCTGATTTTGACAATGACAGCCTGATTAGTTTGTCACAGCTTATGAAGAAAAGTTTAGTTATATGTACTCGGGTAATCTACAAGATGCTTTCTCTTTCTTATTCTTTCTTTTATTGTATTTTTTACTGCTTTTCCTTTTTTCCCATTTCCTGGGGGATGGATTGTGATTCCCATTCGCGGATTTTGTTTTGCTAAGAATAATATGATCGAACATTTAAGGTTATGGTAGAAATCAATATGGAGTGTGCTTGATTCAATCAAGATTCAGCGTTTAATATTTTCTTAGTTAACTTTGAGCTACCGATTATTTAACGTTTATTCATTCTCTCTTTTACCAGTGGATGCAATGTAGGATTCAAATTCAACAATAATAATCTTCCAACATACCAAAACCACCTGCTAGCCACCGGTAGTAGGGGATTCAAGGGGTTAAAGACTACTCAATTGATGAATCTGACTAAAGATATCCAAAATAAGGATGACAAGCATTTCCACTCTTTCTCACACTTCAGAAATTCTTATGCCGTGAAGTAAAATGATAAACTTTTAAGTGTTTTCTTGATTTGGATTAGATATGGTCTGTCTATTTATAGCATTAGTGGCATCAAATATTTGACATTTAGCAGTCTCAAAGAATCAGGAATTGATGTGCATCTATTGGCAATAATCCAAGGTGAATAGTCTGCAGGGTTATATTTCATAGGATTGCATACATAATTAGTGTTTCGAATATCTCGTTGCTGCCATTTTAGGTTCTTTTGCTGTTACTTTGGTTGACAATGCTTCTAAATGGTGTGACAACAAAAAAGGAATTTCATTGTATGCGTGGTTTATTATAGAAAATATGTTACTCGAGAGTACATGCTAGTATGCTTTTTTGTCTTGTGCATGCCTTACCAAATGAATTAATTGAAGTAACGATGATTTTGTAGTGCTTGTCAAATACTTAATATGCACTTACAACATTATACTACTGGCTTCAAGCAGTTTCTTAATGAATTGATCCGATGCTCAATATTCCAGAAACAGACCCTAGCTGTTAATGAATTATTCCTTTCTATTCATTCTGTTGATATTTCAGTACAAATTTATTACTTTATAATTCAGGATATAAGCTGTTAACATACATTCAAATATAATTCAGGATATGGGATTTTTAACTCTGTAATTTTAAACATAATGCAGGGTGTGATGTCTGATGATGTTAGCACGGAAGCAGATCTTTGTGAAATAGTTACTTCAGGTACTTTGTTCAACTCTTGTTTCTTGGCTGAATTATGTAATGTTTAATGTGGCTCACTGGAATGATAATAATTAACTTCAATGCACAGAATATTCATCTTGGGCAGATCGATTTCCCCGTATGAAAGAAGTAGTTGAGAGATGATTCAATTTTTCTTCAATAAATGTTTTTGGATCACTGCATCAGCAGCATTGTCTTTGAAATTTTCAAATCTTCACAGGATTTTATTATTTAAGTTAGGATTCAATTTTGTGTTTTCTAAAGCTTTTTCTCCTCTCCCTTTTTCAACTGTGGCATTAGCTCTTGTACATGTAAATTTGTTTTATTTCGCTTCTCATAGTGTTTGTTACTGAAAAGATCAATAGAAGAAAAGGGGAACTTGGATGAGCTCAAATGTAAGACGGTAACTGTGTTCTTTTTATCCCAAATGTCGGTGGGGCAAGTGATTAATTTGTAAAAGTGCGTTTGATTGAAAGTATGGAATTTGCATGAAAAGAAAATAAGTTTTAGGCAATTGAATTGTCTAGAATTCATTTACATGAAAATTATTAATTGTGTTTGATTAATTTAATTTTCAACTTAGAAAATGTTATATTTGTTTATCTTTTATTGATGGATATATGAGAGAGAATTATTTGAAAAATAAAAATCTCTCTTTCCAAAGAAAATGTTTTCTTTGTTTTCAAGGAAAATATGATCACGTGATCAACATTTGAAAAAAAAAGAAGGGTTAATCAAACACTTCAAAAGTAAGAATTTTTATAGAAAAATAACTTTTTTTAATGAAAGATAAAGTCAATGAAACACAGCCTAAGTGTGACTTGGTTTTATTTACTTTCAAACCCGGACCGGTCTGTTTGACCAGAAAATTAAAAATCGAATCAAATTCGGTCCGATCACAGGATGAAAACTGGATTTACATAAATTAGTACAGAACTCGAAAAACCTTCCAGTTCTTCCAAAAATGGGTAAATTGGTCCCGATTTCTTCAGGTTTACAAATAACATTTTTGTTAGAAAGAAATTATAGTATGAAGAAAAGAATGTTTGATTGCCATTTCTCGCCGCCTAATAGCCACCGGAGCTTCAATATCTCTTTGTTGAAGCCATTGTACCAGATTTCAGTCAAAACATCCAAAATCAAATTCAGAACCAATCTTCAACAATAGAAGTATTCAAATAGATACAAATACATATATTCGTATGTGTGACAGAGACGAGGCAACCGAAAGAGAAGTAGAAGACGAGATAGCACGGACGAGAATTAATTGATTCTAGAACTTTTGTTGTCAAATTCATTTTAGGGTTTGGTTAATGGGCTACAGCATGTTTTGGCCCATTTATTTGAACACTTCATGTTAAATTGATCCATGCATTAATAAAAGTGGAAATTACAAAAAACCAGAATTTTAAGATGCGGATTTCAAAAATCAGATTTTAAGATTTTTTTTCAAATATGAGATATTTATTCAACTTTTAAACCTATCCCCAACCCGCCCAACCGAAAATCGTTACCCCTACAATTCAATCTTCATGTTCCAGTTCCACTACCACGAGAGAGGGTGATTTGAAGCTTGAGGGCGGCGCATCTGAGCGTAGCGTTGAGGCGCGACTTCATGCGATTGGAGGCGCAGTAGCTACGGCGATTTGTACTAGTCCAGTGGTGTTTCTCCGGCGATTTGTGGTGGCCAAAGTGTAGTGCAATGATGGTGTGTATGTGCTCCTGCTTTGTGATTTGGCAATAATTTTTGTTGGTGTGGTGGTGTTAGATTGGTGGTGGATCGAACCAGATCCCAAGTTGTGGTGTTTTTCCGATTTGTGGTGGTCGAGGTAGAGTGTGATGATGGTTTTGTCTGTGCTCTGCGTTGTGATTTGGCAATAATTTTTGTTGGTGCGGTGGTGGATCAAAAGGGATTTATTGAATTTGGTGGTGGTTGTGGCTTTTGCTGGATGAGGAGGTGGCTGTGAATCTAGCATTGATGTGTCAATGAATTGGTGTCAAGAGTTTTTTAGGTAAGTTTTGTTGTGTTTGCAATTGGTGGTGGCGGCCGTGGTGGTGTTGGTTGGCATGAGAGACGGCCTCTATGGTAATGGCGGTGGTGTGGTGATTGGCGATTGGGTTTGGTGCTGCAGTGGTTTGGTGCAGCGTGGCGATGGCGGTGATGCAAAAATGGTGGTGGTGATGGCGCTGGTGGCAGCGGGGCGATGGTGATGAGATAGTATCTGTGGTCAATTATTTGGTTGATTTGTGACCAGTATTGGCGGTGAATCGGGACCAGTGATGGAGTGTTTTGGTGTATGTGACCAATTATTTGGTTCACTGTGACTAACTATTAAAATGTGACCTTAAAATTCGATAATTTGTGACCAAGAAATAATCTGTGACCTATAAAATTATTAACATGTGATCGATAATTTGATAATTTGTGACTGTCTAATAAGTTGTGACTTATAATATTTGTGATTTGTGACTAGTAAATGAATTGTGACGTATAAATTTTTTATTTGTGATCTATGAACAAATTGTGAACTATAAATTTTTTGAATTGTGACCGTAAAATAATTTGTGAGATATAAAATTTGTGATTTGTGACAAATGAATCATATGTGACTTATTATTTTGATAAATTTGTGACAGATGAATAAATTGTGAAGTATAATTCATGACATATGAAAATTGTGACCAATTAATAATATATGACCAATTATATAGAATTTGTGATCAAATTATATGAACTTGTGACATTCATATATTTAATTAATAAAATATATGTTTTTTTACTAAATTTATAAATAAAATTTTAAAAACTCTGAGATTTAAAAATTTAAACATAATCTCTTAAATTTGAAATTGATAAAACTAAATCTCTTAGTTTTGAATTTTTCCCTTAATAAAATGTTAACGTAGAAATTACATGAATACCTACTTTTAAATATTATATTTCAAAAATCAGAATTATAGTTTATATAAACAAAAATCAAATGGTAATAAAAAATTTCATATTAATAATAATATTATTAAATTCAATTAATTATATACCCACCCCCTAAATCCTAATATTCATTTCCTTCATCATTTTCAATCAACTCTCTCTCTACTCTACCTCTCCTTCTTTATATCTCACCGAGCACCGCCATTGGCAACTATCAGTACGCTTATCATCCTCATCGCAGATCGAGCAGTGCGTCGTCGCAGCGACAGCTTTATCCCTGTTGTGATTCACCGTCGCTGCGACGTACCGCATGGTGGTGGCGTTGCAACGGTATTGGTGACGCTGGTGGAGTGTGTTGCATTGTGGGGCTGTGTTAATGATGGTAGTGGTGCGTCTGTATAGGGTTGGACTATTGGTCTGTGTTGATTCGATGCGTTTATGTTGGGCTGTGTCTGTGGGTGGTAGCGGTAGGGTGGTGGCGGAGGTGCTACGCACAATGAATGGTGGTGGATCTAACGGTAGAGGTGAGTCTTGTTTTGGATCGACGGTAGACCTGATTGTGGTGTTGTTGGATATGGTGGTAGTTGTGGCGATGGTTTTTGCTGACACGTGTGGTGGTGGTGGGATACCAATTATTTGGTTGATGTTAACTAATAAATTGGTTAATATGTGACCAATAAATAATTTGTGATCAATTATTTAGTAGATTGTGATAAATAAATTAGTTAATTTGTGATCAATAAATAATATGTAACTTATAAAATGTGATTTTGACTCACAATTTATTAAGTTGTGACTGAAAAATTACTTGTGACCAATTCATTTGATAATATGTGATCGTTAAATAAGTTGTAACTTATAAAATTTGTGATTTTGTGATTGATAAATAAATTGTGACTTATAAAATTTTGATTATGATCAAGAAATAATGTAACCTATAATTTTTATAATTTGTGACTCATAAATAATTTGTTCTGTGATCGATAAATAATGTGACATGACTAATTACTTCAATAATTGTAACCAAATTGTATAGAATTGTGAACTTAGTATATTTAATTAATAAAATATATATTTAATTAATTATTTCATAAATAAAATATAATTAATAACTATTTTTTGAAATTTTAAACCTTGTCTCTTAGTTTTCAAATAAGTAATACTTTAATCCCTTACTAATGGAATTTTCCCAATGTTAAGTATGAATTTTAAAATGTTATTTAAATCAATAAAATTTTTTAATAGATTATATTTAACTCCCGTTTGACCCTTGACCCTTTAACTTTTTGGGGGCCGATGATCGGGTTCGGTTTTGAAAAACATTGTTACTTAGTCAAACATGCCCTTTTAGGTGAACATCTCAGCAATCAAGTGTGATGAAATATAACAGTTAGGGTTACTTGATTCTCACTTCCGAGTCAATTCTTTCCTAGTCGTATAGCTCCAGGAATGACAAAACCAGTCTTGTAGTCAAAAGCTTTGTCCACAACCAGATGAGAAATTGTAACAAGTGCTTTGATTAGTACATACCTTTAAACTGGTATGTAAGTTGAAAGGAAAGAGATCGGTTGGAATAATACAAGGAAGAAAGAGGTACTAAAATTGGATATAAATATTTTAATATTGTTATTATTTCAAATGTATTTTAATAATTATATTTACTGTTTACTACAATTCTTACCATTCTCTCCATTTGCTGATGGACTTGGAAGCACTTGAGATTTTGTTGAAATTACCAATTTTTAACAATATGTTGAAATCCATTTGAAATAATATATAGAAAATGGGAGAAAGAGAGAGAATAACATAATTTATACTCCCAGTGATCCAATAGACGCTTTAAAAAGAAAAAAAAAAAAGGAATTACGTGATGGGATAAATGAGTTTTAAAATCAATGGTGTACATTACTGTCATAAGAAAGAACGTCAAACATGTCGACCATGATGTACATGTAAAACAATTAAAGAAAATAGTAGGATCGAAAAATAAATCGTCAATATTGATTATTTTGGTGTTTATAAGGTACAATAATGCTAGTGGTACATCACACCCTACATAAGGGTGTACATTATGGACACCCGGCGCCTCTCCATTGGATGAAGTGCCGCCCTTATGTAGGGTGTGATGTACCACTAGCACAACCCAATTCATATTTCTATAAGTAATACTTTAATCCCTTACTTATGGAATTTTCCCAATGTTAAATATGAATTTTAAAATGTTATTTAAATCAATAAAATTTTTTAATAGATTATATTTAACTCCTGTTTGACCCTTGACCCTTTAACTTTTTGGGGCCAATGATCGGGTTCGATTTTGAAAAACATTGTTACTTAGTCAAACATGCCCTTTTAGGTGAACATCCCAGCAATCAAGTGTGATGAAAGATAACAGTTAGGGTTACTTGATTCTCACTTCCGAGTCAATTCTTTCCTAGTCGTATAACTCCAGGAATGACAAAACTAGTCTTGTAGTCAAAAGCTTCGTCCACAACCAGATGAGAAATTGTATCAAGTGCTTTGATTAGTACATAGAAAATGGGAGAAAGAGAGAGAATAACATAATTTATACTCCCAGTGATCCAATAGACGCTTTAAAAAGGAAAAAAAAAAGAATTACGTGATGGGATAAATGAGTTTTAAAATCAATGGTGTACATTACTGTCATATGAAAGAACGTCAAACATGTCGACCATGATGTACATGTAAAACGATTAAAGAAAATAATAGGATCGAAAAATAAATCGTCAATATTGATTATTTTGGTGTTTATAAAGTACAATAATGCTAGTGGTATATCACACCCTACATAAGGGTGTCCATAATGGACACCCGACACCTTTCCATTGGATGAAGTGCGGGTCATAATAGGATCGAAAAATAAATCATCAATATTGATTATTTTGGTGTTTATAAGGTACAATAATGCTAGTGATACATCACACCCTACATAAAGGTGTCCATAATGGACACCCGGCACCTCTCCATTGGATGAAGTGCGGGTCGACACTTCATCCAATGGAGA